AAGGCAACTCCCTGCAGCTTCCCACAACCAAAGTCATTGGGGAAGCTGGCAGGAAGTTGCAAGTCCAAGGCTGGCAGGCAGCTAAGTGGCTGCTTCCGGGTGGGCGTGGAGTAAGGGGGTGCGCGGGGTGTGGGGAAGGGTTGGGAAGGGTATGCAGGGGTGCATGAGTGGCTGGTGCAGCACAAGCACAGAGGGACTGGGGAGGGTGTGCAGGTGGGGGAGACTTACCCCAGAGACTTGCAACCTTCCTTGCTGGCTTCCCCATTGACTTTCTGGGGAAGCCAGCAGAGAAGGTTGCAAATGGTGATCATGTGATCGTGGGGCGCTGCAACTAGTCATAATGCAAACCAGTTGCCAAGTACCGACATCATAATCACATGACAGCAGGGGTACTGGGACATCCAGAACTCCAAGGACCGGTAGTAACCACCATTCATTCAGTGCTGTCGGAAGTTTGAACTATTGCTGAACAGATGGTTGTAGGTCAAGGACTACCTGTATTCATGACCAAGTTTTCCAAGTTTCCTATCAAATTTCTGTGAATAGAACTATCTCCGTAAGTTGCACAGAGGCATTATGTGGTCAGAAGTTCAGGTCAAGAAAGGAACATTAATAGTTTGAGAAATTCTGATTATGTGTTTCCATAGCAACTAATTAGATAGTGTCTAAGAGTCTTCTGAATGGGGCAAAAGGAGTCAAGCATACACATCCGCATTATTTAATATTCCGTAATTTTATTCAGTTTGAGCTTATATCTAAATGCAGTACAAAACCTATTTTTCTAAGAATAATGCTAGGTAAGACTCTTGTATAGAGGGAAAAAATAAAAGGCTCTAATTCTGAGGGAGAGAAAAGCAGAAAACAGAACACAGACTCTATAAGCTAAGAGTATTTTGCCCTGCTGACTTTTCTTCATAGACTTTTGATATTGAGCAACAGATTTAGCTATCTTTGGGAATGAGTGGTCTGTTGTCATTCACAGGCAATCTGTATATTTCTAAATAAATTAATTACAGAACACAATTAGTCCCAAGTAACTTGCTTCCAAAGGATATTAAACTGAGATAAGCATTGCACATCCGAATTTTTCACCACTGGGAAAGTGGGATCAAAACATGATTGAATCTGCCTCTGACTTGTTAATAAGCCATTGGCTTCTTTTCTGCATGAAGTTTTTTCTAAATGTCTCACTCTTGGGTTGGTGTAGTGGTTAAGGTGCTGGCCTAGAAACCAGGAGACTGTGACTTTGGCATGAAAGCCGGCTGGGTGACTTTGGGCCAGTTACTCTTTCTCAGCGAAACCCAAGTCACAGGGTTGTTGTGAGGAAAATAGAAGGCAAGAGTGTTAAGTATGTTCACTGCCTTGAGTTGACCATCCATCCATCCATCCATCCATCCATCCGGGATAAAAATCTAATATATAATAATAATATATAAATGCATTTGTTGCCCTAACAACTCACACTGATCCTAATTCTGTCTCCTCTTTAGGATACTTAGGATTTGCTACAGCCACACTACAGTTCTTCTGTCAGGGAGCTAAGGCTTCTTCAGAAGAAAGTTGGTAGAAGCTCACTTTGCCACACAAGGAACTCCAAGACATACTAATTTGAAATTCAGATACAATGACACTTTGTAGATGCTCATGCTCAATTCTTCATATATGGAAGTTCACAATTCACTTCTGTTTTGCACATTTATAGTAAGACACATTTGGATCACATTATATTGCTATGAAAATTAAATAATTTGTAAATATTTCTCCATGCACAAACAAAAAGCAGTTCTATTCAAAGATTTCATTCATTCGTTTATATCCTCACTTACATCCTTCCTGCTTATATATCCACTTGAGGTGACTTAAAACAGTTTTTAATCAATCGTAGGATTATGTCACTGCACTGACAATATAGTTAATATTAAATAGAGCTTTAAGATCAGACTTAAATTTTGTTGCCTATTTATTTAAAAAATCATGCAACATTTCACCAAACATCTTACCCTCTTTTGCTTGTTGCTGTGGAACTCAAATCAAGGTAAGAAAGTTTATGGCAATTCCCCGCCAAAGCTTGAACTCCAATATCAGTCACATCTTTACATCCATTAACATCAAGGTACCTGTAAGGATTCAAAAGGCAGTAACCTAACACAGAAACTGGCTCACTACTGTATGTAGATTGGGGAAAAAATATTTGAAATAGACATGGTGTCTCCAGTTTGTACATGACAAATGATTACAATCCCATCTCCTAACAGAGTATAACCAGCAAATAAACATTTAGGATGCCATTGCATCTATTAGCCATTCTACTGCTTTTTTATTTATCTTCCTAGCCTCCACATTTAGAATGCTTTTAGTTTTTCTTATATTGATCCATCAGTGACTGAACAAGATTTACTATCTGCTATCACACCCAGGTAATTCCTGAGAAGAGTAGCTAATCTGGTTGAGGACAATTCTTAACCCCTTCCTCTAGCCTGATTATCATCCTGAGTTGCAACCCAAAAGCCCAGACAGTAAGAAATAATCTCTACCTCTGTTTTTTTTCTCTTCCTAAACATGATGGTATAAAAAAATAGCTTCATTTGCAATCTTTGTACAGAAATCTGTGAGTATTGCCTTTGATACAATAAAATCCTAGAGCTGCTCTCAAGCGTCTTCTAGGAAAGGTATGATTTTCAGTGGTATTACTGATACATCCTACATCCATCAGTTAACTAATTGACCAATTAGGAGATAAACTATTGATAAGTATGGCTTGGCAGCATTTGAATTACTTTTTTTTTCAATGAAGTGGCAGAGATTTTGAGCAACATGGACAAAATTTTCAGAGTGGTTCTCATAATTTCCAGCCCTTTTTTTTCATTGTTTTTATTCCCTTGATTATCAATTTTATAATTGCTTAGATCCTTTAGTGCTATTGTATTCATTTGTACTTTTTATTAGTTTGCATAACAGTATTTTAAAAACTGAAAAGAAAATACAGAAGCTTAGCTTCATGTGCAATTCTTGTACAGAAATCTCTGGGTATTGCCATTGCCATTTATTATTGTTGGTTGCACAGTCAGCCAGATGTTTAGTCTGGATTTGGCATTTTTATCCACCCAAGGACCTGGGATAGGCAGATGTTGTTTGATGATGTTAAATGTATCATCGCAGGATGTAAGCTGTTCCATGTAAAGCTGCCTTTTGCAATTGACTTATGGTGATTTTGTCAGTGCCGATGGTCTTCAAGTGGTACTACAGATGTTTTGGGATTGCACCCAAGGCGCCTATTACTATCTTTGCTTTCTTTTGCCACAGTCATTCTATTTCTATTTGCAGGTCTTTATATTTTTGGATTTTCTCCAGTTCTTTCTCTTCTGTTCTGCTGCCTCCAGATATTGCAATGTCCAGACTTTTTTTGTCTGTCTTATCAAAATTGTTAAGTCTGGGGTGTTGTTGTTGTTGTTATTTAATTTTAAATTCATTTACCATTTTTAGTGGTAATATCCTACAGTTGTTCTAAAGCATCTTCAAGGAAAGGAATAATTTTCAACTTTATTATTATTTCATGGTATGTTAACTAACTGACCAACTAAAAGATAAAATATATTGAACAAGTCATCTTATCAAGACATTAAATAAATAAAACACTCAAATATTAGCATAAATGTTTTTTCTTCATGCTTTAAAGTCATTATTATAAGCCTAATCATGTAAGACTTTAATTAACAAACAGCCAGAAGAATGTCACCATTAATTTTATGCTACTTAAGGTAATAATGGAATCATTTAAGGAACGAGATCAATGCCTCCACAAAATTCATTCTAGATATAACTATCAATCTTTCAGATTTTCAGATATACAGGATTTTTTTTTAATCTGTAACTATGGTTCAAATAGTAATTTATGCATTCATACATATGCATTTCTTGTGCCTTAATATTTACTACAGATCTTTTTAAATGGTGGAATGATTTCCTATTTACAGATTGATGTGCCCGTATGGTGAGGAAGGAGGATTATGTTAATGCACAGATGACCACCTGAAGAAACAGTTACACGTAAGCAACTTGTTTTTCATTGTAGTCTCTGTGTATTACATGTATAGATGATTATAAATCTTAATTCTCCAGTTGTGGTAAAGTCTGCCAATGAAGATGAGTACTATCTGTCCAAATACAGTATCTAGTCTGACTTGAGTACAGGCAGTCCCCAGGTTAAGAACATCCGACTTACGGACAACTCATACTTACGAACAGGCTGCCTATTACTAAAAACGGTGGACAGCATTTTCCTTCCTCAAGCTGACAAACTGCTGAAGCTGCACAATGTTTTCAATGAACCTCTGAAGCCACATGTTTTTAATATACAACCTGTTTTCAGTGGTTCATGAAAACATTGCGTGGTTTCAGCAGTTTGGCAGCTTGCAGGAGAACACTGTCTGTCATTTTTAGTAATAGCCCCGTTTGTAAGTACAAGTTCCGACTTACATACAAATTCAAGTTAAAGAGAGACTTAGGAACAGATCTCGTTCTTAACCCGGGGATTGCCTGTATTCAGAAGGCAGGATTGAATAAACCTGATGGTTAAGGTGAAATCTCAGCAATTATAAACATCAGTAATGATACATTCCCCAAAGCAGCTGTTGACATGGCACTTGCTTTTATAGAATGGGATCACACTGAACTAGGTTCAACTTTGAAAATTCACAGACAAGGATAGCCTTGTCACCCTGGGGGCAGTCTTCTAAGAAGAAACTGGAAAAGCCTCTTTTGGGTTGTCCATTACGCACAAGTAAATGCTGTTTTCATGAGCCCTATCCAGATAAAATGCCAAGGTTCTATGAATATCTACAAATTGGGATTCACATTCTAACACTGCTATTAAAGCAAAAGAAAAATGGCAATATAATGTCCTGATTGATAAGAAAACGTAAAACTATTTATGGAAGAAAGTGAACATCTGGACACAATACCCCCTATTAATATGGAAAGTTACAAATGGTGTATCCACCCTAAGAACTGCTGAGTCATTTGCATATTACTTTGTAGTAAAAGCCAACCAGAAGGCCATTTCATGGTTAGAAGATTTAAGTCCTATGTAGCCAGAGGCTCAAAGGGCTGGACCACCAAGAAGAGAAAAGTTCTAAAATGCTCCATAGAGATATAGACAACTTAGGAAAATAAAGATTAGTGAGTCCTTTGAACAAAATGCTTTGTGAGAGTTTGTGTGAAGGAATGATTGGATGAAGGCCGCACTCAAGGAGATAAGCATTCCCTTAGCCCCCAACAGGAGCGTGGGAAGTTTAAGAAGATGAGACCGGCACCACCCTAAGGAATTCATGGTGTTTTGGCTTGCTGGCTTGGGAAATTAGATTCAGTCTGTTGAAGTGGAATCTAATAAACACAACAGACCTGTATTTGCACTGTCTCAGGGAGTTCTTTGGGCTGAACCTGACAGTTTGTGATCATAATGAATGCTCAACTGAAGCATGAAACATTGTGATAGCTGTGATGTAAGCACACAAAGAAGACATCAACCCTTTGGCACAGCGAAACAGTAGCAAATACACTCTAAAACCTGAGAATACTTGCTACTTTGCTTTATACAATTTACACATGGATGGCTTTTTTACCACCTGTAAGTCACTTATTGTTGGCTCATGCTGATTTAACATGCTGATCTAACTGGTAGACAGCTCTGTGATTTACTGTGAAGAAGGATGGATTCAAGGAGAGATGATGTCAGGCAGTTTGAGTTGTTGAAGTAACTATGATATAATCAGAAGGAGATGTGAACAGCTCTGGTTAATATTGTGGCATCTCTTGTGATCAGTGGAAACAGTGGGAATTCATATAGTATTCATCTGAATCAAAGAAAAAGGACGTTACTTAGAAAGCGCCCCCTAAACTTACTCTGGTGCCAAAAATGTAACACTGGATGGTTCCTGGTGTTTGAAGAGAATTGTTGATGGCTCACCCCTGATAAAGGTTTTGGAATCGTAAAATAGAAGAAATAAAGCCTCTGAATCTATTCTTGTAAGGAAATCAATCCCTTGACCATGAGAAACTGCACTTAGATGTGGAGTGCACAGATGGGAAGAGAAAAATGAAACATGTTAGAGATGATGGTGAAGATAACCTTTGACCCACTTAAAAAAAACCACCCAACAATCTGTTGTTACAATATTAACTCCCACTCTGGGAAAGAAAGCCTAGACAGTTGATAAAATTTATGTTTCTAGTCTGGAGAAATACGATCCAGAGAAATATAATAAAAATGAATGTTCCTGGATGCTGACTACAAGGAACTGAGATAAATAATGTTTTGTTGTGTAGGCATGTGCAATAGAAATGAATCTTCTAGATCTGTCAAAATATATCTCAGCTCTGGACTGTTCTGATATGTCCGTGCAGGAAACCCAAACATGTGATACAGAAATTTTGTAATAAAGCACTGCTGAACAACATAGATAAAACCTGTGCTACTATGGAATCATTATTCATCAAAGCAAACAGGACAGATAACACTCTTGATGTCTTAAGCTTGGTACAACATTGGGAGTGGATCATACAATAGTGTGCTCCATTTCCCTCTCATATGTAATTTCTCCTTCCCAGCCTTGTGATAGCAACCCATGAGTAAGGCAACATTAAAAAAGGCAAAATGTGCAGTCTTGGGAGTAAATGCAGAAGAAGATAGGTTCATGGCATGATTTGCACTGATGTCAAAAAAAACCATCAAGATACTGTACATAACCTTAGCGAAATAAAGAAAAACAACTACCTTTTTATCCAAAGCCAGATAACCATTATAATTTTGGGGGGAGGCAATAATCACAGAGATGGTGCAGTTGTAGTATTTCTTATCTCTTATTTGATTAATAGATTAGAAATGAGTTTCAGTACAGGCTATCTGCTTTACCCATACTTCATTTATTGTATACATGTTTCTTTGTTCCCTCTTCCAGTCTGAACTGTGATCAGTAGTAACCATAACTCTAAGACTACTTCACCTTTAACTATAATTAAAATTTCCATTTCCTTATTTTTTTAAAAAAATGTCAGAATGTTAAGACTCTAATGTACTTTTAAAATTTACTTTTTAAAATTATACACATTTGAGAGGGTGATAAAAGTTTAAGTAACTGCTACAGAAACAGCATTTTTCAGTACAGCTTCACATGCTTTTCATTTTATGCATTTGGAGACCACCTATCCTACATAAGCCACAAACAGCAAAAAGGCAAAAAAATGTCAACATAATCCAGGATGTAACATCACTGAAAATTATTTAAATAATACCAAAATATATAAATAAATTCAAGGACAAATGCATTTCCAATAAATTATCTTACCTGATCATTGGCAAGTAAGTGCTAATTTCAATTAGACTGATGTCAGTTATGTGAGCACATGAATTGAGAACCAAACATTCCAGTTTAGGACACTTCATCAGAATACAATGTACTAGACGATCCCCCATCTGCAGCCCAGGACAAGAGAAAAGCAGGGTTAGGGTTAGGGTTAGCAGGAAATAAGAAGGTATGGAGGAGTGTCTTTTAAAAATAGAACAGAGCTGTTCATTGCCAGTCAAGTTCCTTATTCCTAGTACAGTAAGGAAACCAGTTCCAGTATATCAAAACACTATTTATAGATTAATATTCAATATATATTGGCAGACATTTTTCCCATAACTCTTTTGATAGTTTTATGTATAAAACCAGGGTTCTACTGTTCTGTGCTATATTTTATGGGGTAGAGGCAGGGATTACAAGGTTCTCCTAGGATACCAATTGCTGGCAGGTATTCTAGGGTTGCCCCTGATACTTGTAAAGCAAAAGGGAACCCAGATCCTCTTAGGGAAGCAGAGGGAATAAGAACATCCAACGGGTGACTGTGAAAAATAATCTAAGCATCTAGTAAGAGTTGTAAGTATCACCACCTATATTTGGAACTTTATTTCTTCTTGTTGGTTAAAGCCACCAGGAAGGTGACCAGCACCTGGGCTTGGGCAGCAGTAAACTCTTCCCTGAGATGAAGTAGATTCTATCTGGATATTACATCTCTCCTCAAGAAACCATCATTTGAACCAGAAGTGCTGGATAATTTTCAAACAATCTTCAATCTTCCTTTTTGGGGGATGGTTGTGAAGAAAGTGGTAGGCCTACAACTCCAGGAGAAAGCAGAGTATCTGAACCCTTTGCAGTCAGGATTCAGACCTGGGTACAGTGTTGAGACAGCACTGATTGCACTTGTGAATGCCCTCTGGCAGGACCAGGTCAGAAGAGGTATGACTCTCCTGATCTTACTTGATCTTTCAGCAGCTTTCAATTCCATTGATCATGGTATCCTTCTAAGCAGGATCCAAATGCTGAGAGTGGAGAGCACTAGATTTCAGTGATTCTCTTCCTTTCTTTGGGGTCAGTTCCATTCAGTGTTGGTAGGGCAGAATAGAACAAACCTGAGACCCTTGCTTTGCAGGGTTCCGTAGGACTAGATGGTATCCCCACTTTTATTTAACATCTGCATGAGGACTCTGGGCAAGATCATCCCTATCAATATATGGATGACACAGCTGTATATCTCAACCCTCGGCTAAACAGGTGATGTGACTGGAGTCCTGTTCTGGAGCCTGAATTCTGTTAGTTTCTGGATAGGAAGGAAAAGGCTCAAGCTCAACCCTAGCCAGACTGAGTGCCTGTGAATACAAGAAGCTCCCGATGCCAGTGATTTTCAACATTGGTTCTGCAGAGGTTGCACTACCTCAGACGGAACTTGTGTGTAATCTGAGGATCCTCCTGGACTCTTGGCTCTTTCTTGAAGTGCAAGTGACAGCCATGGCCAGGATACAGATACAGTAACCTATTTATATAGAATTTGTAGCCATTTTTCATAATATTTTGTGGGTTTTATTCACTTCAGTATTCAATTTCCAAACTTATATCTAGAAGATTGATTTGTTTTTTTAAAAGGTAACATAGCATCTCAAGAACTGTGTTTTTCCATACAGAAAAGCCTGTAAAACCTTTAATGATTCACATATATATACAATATGATAAATTCCACTCTAGCAAAAAAGATAAGAAACAAAGAGAAATGGGTAAAATAAACAAACAGCTCTTACCATTTCAAGGCCTGTGACATTGAGACTAGTTAGTTTTTGCAAAGAGTTTACCAGTTTCACCAAACAGTCCTGAGTGATCCTGTGAATTCTGCCAATATTCAGAAACTCTAGACTTGGACACTTCATAGCAATTGATTTCAAGCATTTGTCAGTAACAGCATGACAGCCAAATATTTCCAGTTTCTTAAGGCTGGAGAAGAACATATTATAATGAAGTTAATAACAACTTCCAATGTTAGCCATTCAACAGTCATTAAAACCACCCTTGTGTCCAAAGTATTTTTTTAAGATAAGTGCTTATGCATAGCGTCACTCCCAAATTTTAATACAAAGCAACATATGAAAACAAAATATGAAAATATTTATATAATATTATATGGTCTATAATATTACTTGGTCTAAGTCTGAACATTAATGTGTATTATTTATACATTAATTAATAAACTAAGCAGGTAGAATTAGCTGTATTTTTTCTATTACAGCTGATTCCACAAAACACATCCTTCTTATATCATTTAGTATAGCACATATGGAATTGTTTATTTGACAATTTGCAATTACATGTATGAAAAGAAAATAAGAACATATGTAAGAAACCTAGTCAAGTTGCTGGATTTCTGTTAACTATAAACCATTCATTCATAAAATGCAGCAGTTCATCAATCACTATTTTCACATAAAAATAAGGTTAGGGAAAAGAAATAAGTTGGGAAGTTACCATTTTAGAAAATGAAATTCTAAGTCCTGAGACCTGTTTTCTGCCAGTAACCTTGTAAATGTGCAGTAGAGTTCTAGCTGAGCCAGTCTTTCTTGACCTCTCTCCAATCCTGAATACTTCAGTGAACATATACATTTGGCATAAGGAAAAGTCAAGGTAGCAGATGTAAATGGGGATTTTCAGTTTCTGCTTTTTATTACCTCTTCAACTCCCTCCTCCCAGAATCGCCGCAGGGCCATGTAGTTTACTGTAAGACTTCTGATTTTCTTAAAGTCAGTATGATTTTAATGCAAAAAAGGTATTTCATTTGGTGGACAACAAATGTTATTTGCACCAATTTGTGAAATTCTAGTTATAATATGCTAGAGCTAACTTAGATGATTTCAAAAGAAGAGCACTGAATAACAGTATAATTGTATGCACATGTAATTAGAGGCGAGTTTCATAAAAGTCAGTAATGCTTTTTCCTGAATAAATGTTAGTTATTCTTTTCCAAGTTATGATATCAGGATTATTGAACCAATGCACATATTGAAGAATAAAACATGTTTACAAGGAAGTTTACTCATATAATTCATTCACTTCTTGAGCATTCTCATGTTCAAAATTTGGTAAACTTCCTATTCTAAAGACAGTGGCAAGCAGAATTGAGGAAACAGAAAGATACATTCTAGTGCCAACTGTTAATGCCAATTTTTATGTGTATGTGAAATTATGTTCCATTATTTCAGGACAGATACTTTAAACTTTAAGCAAATGGAAAAATCTATATTGCAATCCATATCTTATCTAGTGGCAATGAGAACATTCCCTCCTCGAATGAAGAGCAGCCATTAAAAAAAATCATAAGCATTCACAATTTTCTTACACTGCTTAATCTAGCTCTCAGGTGACAGATTTGGGGGTCCAGTTAAAGAATGAAGAAGAGCACAGGATTAGCCAGCAGAGAGAAAATATGGCCAATTTTTACCAGAGAGAATTCTGCTACTCACAAAGGAATTAAAACAATTTTTGTGAAGTAAATACTTTGGGAAAGTCTGCAGAAAGAATAGATATAAAACAAAGCTGCTGCAGATAGTCAATTCTAGTTTATTTAATCAGAGCTCTGTCATCATGCCTTGAATGGTTCTGTTCTGTTTCCTTGCTCTATTGCAGATGATTTAGCAGACATGTTTGCTTTTTGCACTGGTACAGAAATTTACTCTAGGCTTTTATCACACTCAGTTGGTGTATTTCGTTATCTTTAAGTGCATTTGCTTAATTTAAGCACATTGGCAAGCAGACTCATTATACTCCACCATGCTTCAACATTTATCATAAAAACAACCATTACAGCGAAATATATTTATGACCAGGAATGAATCAGATACAAAAGGACAATATCTTTTTGGAATTCAAGACAAGGAATATATCCTAATCAAGCTTTTTAACAAGAAGGTATGTTATGCCTTGTTCAGAATTAAATTTTGCTCATAGCAGAAAGAAAATGCAGAGTTTATTTGCCCAAATGCATTTCAAATGCAACCCTAAATTTAGAACCAGAATTAGTTACAATTGTAACACAGGTTTGGAAATCAGTGTTTTACTCATGGTTAAAAGTTACAAATGGAGAGCCAGTTTGGTGTAGTGTTAAGGCACCAGGCTAGAAACCGGGAGACTGTGAGCTCTAGTCCTGCTTTAGGCACAAAACCAGCTAGGGTGACCGTGGGCCAATCACTCTCTCTGAGCCCTAGGAAGATGATAGTGGCAAACCATCTTGCTGAGAAAACTGCAGGGATTTGTCTAGGTAGTTGCCAGGAGTCAACACTGACTTGACACACAAACATACATACAAAAAGTCATATATACTTATGTATCTCAGTGCTATTTCTGATATCATAATAAACTACAACTACTACTTATTATCAGCAGCAGTATCCTATGTTTATGCTAATGCAAATTATATTAATGCAAAAGCAGCCATTATTTTATTCCCCCCCCCCCCCCCACAAGACTTCAGTGTCACGGCACGTCTGGGCTGACAATGACACCAGCTGACAGAACTTTTTCTTGCATTAACACCGAGTATCAGTTCCTTCATCCTGTGAGGTATTATCATAGCACAGTGGCTTAATGACCAGAATAAGCACTAAGTGGTATAAAACGTGTTTTTAAATTAAGCTTTAATTTAATTAATAATAGAATAGTGGAAGCTGGCCATAATGAGAATCACAACAAATAGTGAGGTGGCATTAAATCCTCTCCTCCAAAAGCTTTTCTAAAACTTCTATTTGGATTAGGAGGAAAGCCCCCATGGCTTATCAGCCTGTTGTTGATGAAGCATCATGAAGAAATTCAAGCCAATTAAGCCTGCAAGTATAGAGTTATCTTTTACCCACCCCTAATCCTGATTTAAATGACCAACATTTCTCAGCTGTTTCGGACTGCTGTTGTTGCCAATGAACACATTTCAAGGCTAGAAAGCAGGAGACTGTGAGTTCTAGTCCTGCCTTAGGCATGAAAGCTGGTTGGGTGACTTTGGGCTAGCCAGTCACTCTCAACCCAACTTACCTCACAGGGTTGTTGTTGTGGGGAAAATAGGAGGAGGAAGGAGTATTAGGTATGTTCGCTGCCTTGAGTTATTTATAAAAAATAATAATAAAAGCAGGATAAAAATTCTTTAAAAACCCAACAACAACAGTAAGTATGCATAAGAATATTTATCCAAAAAGCAAAATAGCCAAGCATATTGAAAATACAGATGGGGCCTGGAGTTAAAGTAAATCAGTGCAAATTAAAGAGTAAAAAGCAATTCCCAGACAGTCCTGGACAAGAGATTCAATTCAGAGAACGTGAAGTTGAACAATACTGTACAAGAGTTTCACATACAGTAAATAGAAAGAGACAGTTAAAATCAATATACCTGCTAATAGACGGGAAGAAGAAATTTCATAAGGCACAAGTTTGTGTAGATAAGAGATCATTCTATACAATGGTGTGAGCAAATACAATACAGGTAATTCAGAACAAGGCTATTGCCTTCCAATACTCTGAAAAATGAAGATCAGTATACTTAAATTTTAATTAAATGTAAATAATAGGTCAAAATCCTGAAAGCACACATCAGGTCATATTAATATGTACAGACAGCAGCCATATAGACTGATTTTGACATATCCTGTTATTACTGCTTTTTTTTCAATCACCTCTTCATGTGTTTATTAATTCTGCATGCCAAAAATAATACTATGAGTATTATAAGTCATGGAAATGTTATGGAGACTAGTCATCCAAGGAACTGAAAACAGGATTGTATACATTCTTTGGGCATATTCATTAATCCAGTTTTAAGAGTAGATTTATTCAATTTAATCTTTATTACACTCACACATTGTCACAGAGTATATTTAAAATTTCTGTTACAAATCACAGCCACCAAAACTCACCTGGAACCCACTTCCAAAAATTACATATGAGAAAGCTGATAAAAACATATTACTACTTTTAATGAAGTCACATTGTGCAGTAATATGAAGCCCAGTGGGCATATGCACGTGAGCCTTTCCTCATTAGAGATCTTTCCTCATTAGAGATCTATTGATGCAAAAACTCGCTGGGGTAACAATATCCTGCTCTGATTCTTGTTGCTGTCCTGACTGGTTCACAAATGTATAGTCCTCATTAGGGGAGAAAAGTGAAGAGCATTTTGAGGGTGTTGATTGGCTAACAACAACAAAACCCAATGGCATGCATTCCTGCCTCCCCTGCCCCCCCCCCTGTAACATTCACGCAGTTACAGCGGGCCTCCCACGAGTGAGGAGAAAGAAGACACCAAACTGATTCTCCTTCGAGGGGGATGAGAGCGCCCAGACCGGAGTCTGGAAACCTCTTTTATTGAATACATCA